CACACACACACACACACACACACACACACACACACACACACACACACACAACTATATATATATATATATATATCCCGCTATTTACCTTCTATAGTTTATGAAAATACTGCCATTACATTTGCTCTTGTTGAGAAACATTTTAAGGTCTCAGACGTCATTTCAAGGCCAAGAGTTCAAAAAAGATATAAAATAGAAAGCAATTAAATTAATAAAAATAAACTAGGAGATACTGCTATACGTAGCTTTCTGAATCACAAAAGCAGCACAATATTAGCCAATTTCCCTCATTTCTAGATCTTTGTGGAATCTAGTTGGGTTTAATTTTGCTTTATAAAAAATTAGTGATCATCCTATGTATTTTGTGAAACTTGTCATTGGAATTTTCATCTACTGCTATGTAATTTGGCTGCTAATTCCTTGACTTCTTTTATAAAAACAATGTTTGTGTCCCCTTCCCTTACCCAAGACATATGATGAAGCCCTAACCTCTACTGTGACCATATTTGGAGATTAGCTCCTAAGGAATTAGTTAAGGTTAAATTAAGTGATAACAGTTGGACTCTGACCTGATAGGATTACTGTCCTTTTAGGACTGTCCTTTTACTGTCCAGAGACCTCTCTTCCCTACACAAGCACATATACACAGAAAAGGTCCTGTGACACATTGAGAAAGTGGCAATCTGCAAGATAGGAAGAGAGTTTTCACTAGAAATCAGAATGACTAATATCTTTATCTTGGACTTCCCAGCCTCCAGGCTGTGAATAAATAAAGGTCTGTTGTTTAAGTCACAGTCTTTAGAAACTTGTTGTGGCAGCCTGAGCTGCCATATTTGGTCTGGAGACTTAACAATGGGTGTTATCAGATAATTTTACTTAAAAATACTTCTCTATTGGGAAGAATCCACTTTGTCCTCATCTAAAATGTCTCATTCTTCTAGAACATATATAATACTTGAGGAGTAAGATGTAAGAGTAAAGGGATAAGAAGAAAAGAATGGTCATTTGGTTGCAAAATATTAATATCTGTAAATTTTACTGTTTATAAAAAAAAGATTGATACAGTCTCCCTACAAATAAAATAGTCCTATGTTCAAAAATAAATAGGGGCACGTGGGTCGTTCAGTTGGTTAAGCATCTGACTTCAGCTCAGGTCATGATCTCACTTTCATGAGTTCAAACCCTGTTGGGGTTGCTGTTCCAGCAACAAAGCTGTTCCAGCTTTGCCAACAGCCCAGAGCCTGGAGCCTGCTTTGGATTCTGTGTCTCCCTCTCTCTCTGCCCTTTCCCCCCACTCACGTTTTGTCTCTCAAAAATATATAAAAACATTTAAACAAACAAACAAACAAACAAACAAACAAACAAACCAGCCAGAGCCCCATGTTTATTGGTACTCTAAAACTCTTTTGGGGTGCCTGGGTGG